TAACGAATTTCTTCTGATGTTTCTCTGTTTACTCTATGCTTTTTAATATGTGATAAGCAGTAAACAAAAGTAATATTTGTGATTACAGCTTCAAAGAAACTATACATATATGATATGACAATATTCACATTCAAAATACAGCCACAATTTCGAATTCTGTCTGTGCATAGGAGAGACTATTCATAATGTTTATATAAAAAAACGAACGTATTTTCAGAGGTTTGCCTTTGGAGGCACAAGTCTAATGTCAATAGAATATATAATCTTTTTTCCAGAGCGTAAATGAATAAATTCTTTCTATGTCGTACTCTGATACAGATTTTAAAAAAATAGCTAAGGATTTTAGTAGTAAGGATACATTGTTCTTTCTAATTCATTGTTTTCTGTAGATTTCATGATATCTAAAGATTTAGCATATTTATGCTTAGCAACAGAGTAAACTTTTTGGATAAGAATTTGTTTTGCTCAATCGAATCGATTATAGGTGTATAGTAAAATTAGGTCTCAGATTGTCAAGCGTATTTTTCATACAAGTGTATTGAATTCACTAAACGACATTAATGCATCTAGTAAAATGCTTTGTGCTTAAATATAATAATTGTATTTGACTAAATCGTGCTTCCTCTTGTGAATTTATCAAAAAAAAAGTCTTTGTTAATTGCTACTAGCCTCAAACTCTTAAAAAAGAGAAGGAGAAAGTGTTTTTTGACAAATATAAAGTCTATGCAGATTCAACGAGCAGACATGTTCAAGTTACATGACTTATTAATTGATTTAGCACTATGATAAATATGTTGAAGATAGAGATGAAATAGCATGAATGTCCTAAGTGAGGATAATCGGAAATATGAACTTTTTTCACCTTGAGAAAATTTTATTTTTCTTCGACAGAATTGTACGCTATTAGAAATGTGTGTAACAATCTCTAAGAAATAAAAGCGCTTCAATCGAAAATTAATTGAATTAGAAGACGTGTTAACGATTGTGTGTATGTTGTTTGAAGATGATTTATGAAAGTAAGATAGAGAAGTTCGTTGAGTTTTTACTTAAGAAGCATCTTAATTATATAATCGACATCGAAAGACTCGGATCATTTTCCATGGTGTACCTATCTAGTATAGATCAATTACGATCTATTTAAATCTATCAATACGAAAAATCCTTGAATCTAAAATAAGATAAAATAATATTGTTGTTATAAGGTATTTTGATTCTTTCAACCATTGTAGAGCTTTCTTACTGATCATTCTTGATAAAAACAATCTTTTGGAATTTTATGAAGAAATGACAGTGTCATAGTCTAAATAGGATAGATTATGGCATGAAATACTAGTAACTTTATTCGTTCATTTATATTAACTTAACAGTTGAATACAAGTGAATAACGTTCAATTACGCAATGTTTGATCAATCATACGAACACGATCGTTTGAGTAATAAAGACCAATATTGAGTTGCCATGGAAAAGAACATTTGGTCACGTCAACATTGAGTTCATATGTGCTACGTGTTCTTTCGTTAATTAAACGTAATTTTTTTTCATCACAGTCGACAATTAATTCGAATATGTCATTCATTTCCATATCACTAGTATATCCATTATAATTAGATTGGACAGCACCATTGAGTAAAACAGCATTTCCTCCGGCCCAGCCATAAGCTGTGTTGGTGTTAGCTGAGTCTGGTATCATAGGCGCATCTTTTGGTTTAATTCCAAAGAATACCCATTTACTGGCACCTAAGGTCTCAATCTTGAAACGAAATCTGTGTTGTCCAGATGAATATTGGCATCTACCACGTACCGCTGCATGGCCTTGTGACGGGCCGTGAACGATCACAAGTCCATTTTCTTCAATTCGAATATCACCGGCTGATTGTTCCAGACAATCATCTGACCAATCATTTATAGTAATCTTTCGAATGAATGATACCTCATTCGTATCTTGCTGAATGTTGATCGTTTGCGGTGCAGTCCAGTCATTCTTAATTTTATTTAGTTTGTCTGTCCAATCTTTTAAATCTGTCTCGACGAAATCATCATCATCACGAGCTTTGGTTAATTTTTGTGTAAGATTTCCTAAGACTTCGGTCATCTTGTTCGTATATTTACCAATTGCATTCAGTAGTTGTTTGCGAGCATCGTCGGCCACCTGACGAATCTTCTCAATCGAATTTCTTTCCCATTCATCGATTTGCTGCATAAGAGGATGTTGACGAGGTTCTTTTGCTTGTTCATCAAAACTTTGTCTCAATTGATCGTGACAGAGAGTGACTTCTTCCATTTGCTGATTCAGCATTTGTCGATGTTCGGTTGCATGACGTGTGCAAAAATCTTTTATACATCCACGACATGTGAATACGCCCGCTGCTTTTTCACATGTGACACAAGGTAACTTTGCTACTGTTGAAGATGCCATGCATAAATGAGTGAACGTATGTGTTGACAAAATAATTTTAAGTCAGAAATGAACGGATATAAAAGCGAAAATATTTTTGTGTGCAAATATTATCATATAACATCAATCTGTAAAAGAAAGAATAAATATAATGTACGCTTGTGTATTATCAAGTACAAGTAGCACCTCCCTCGTTACTATCCGAGTGTTCATAGTCACTTTTAGTCCTATAAATATTTCTCAAAATTCGTATCACAACTAATTAGTATCTCTTTATTATAGAGAATTATTTGGTTGTGAGTCTGGTTTTTCTTTTCACTTACAGCCTTCCACATCTTCAACTGTGCAATTTTAGCGAAATTTTATTGACAGATGTCGAAGAAAAATGAAAAATAATCTTTTTTTAAGATATATTTTCTAAAAAAAAAAATCTTGGTATCAAAGAAGACAGCGGGCATCCAACTATGGAAAGGTGGATGCTTGATTTTGAGGATCTTGTCATCGTCCTGGTCCAAAAGTTATCCTGCATCAGCTGTTTTCTTCTTGCTGTTGCCATATCGAAAATGTTTTCGTTGTTCCAAATCATAAAGCAAAGATTTTGATATGACAATAATGTGAATTTGATCTTATTTTTGAGAATGTCTTTGAAAATAACATTTATGTAATAGAACTCAACCAAAAATCGGCGGAGGTTTCTAAAATTTTAGGATATGTTCACACATTTAACTGACCAGCACTGCTTGTCACTATGGGTAACAGCATAAGATCTATTAATGGCTTTTCTTAACGCAACGATCGGAAGACGTTCATGTTAATAATATTTGATCATGTCTGCTCTAGAAATTTCTTCTGAATGTGCCAATCATATGTTTAGTATTTTGTTTTTTTTATAACATCTTCCATTAATACGGCTTTCCATTATTCTGCCTAAAATTGCGTCGCAGAGTTGCTTTCGTAATAATCTCGACAACATCATAATATTACGATGGCATCGCGTTAATATAAAATCGCTTCATTTGAGTATTGGCTGTAATGTTTTATGACCGTGAGGAAAAAAATAACTGCTGACAATCAACACAGTGCGTCATTCGTTGATTGCTTATAGAACGTTTTCTGCGCAAATACAACCAATCAAGAATACTTCGTAATATATGCAGGCCTTTTTTTTCAAAAAAAAGAACTGAAAGAAAATGTGCGCAGCAAGCAACATGTGTGTGCTCTATCAATGATTCATATGATTATCACCTTTACCAAAACATAAGAAGCAAGCATATTGTGTTGATTTCAATCTAAGTTGAATGACAAACTATAGAGAAGTAAGCAAGTATCACATTCAAGAGGGAAAGAAACAAAATAGTATTAATTGTTGTTGCCTCGAATAGTCAGGTTACTTGACATTGATAAATGATCAAATTCAGGAGAAAGCACTCTCTAGAATGATGAATTTCGTCAGAGAATCATTCAACATTCTATTGAAACTCAATCGCTCAAAGTTCGAAATAATTACTACACGCATTTCGATCATCATGTCACTGTCGTCATCTAAATAGACCGACTAAATTTGTCGACGCTTACACAACTTTCTCTAACATTGACTGTTAGTATGTGGTTGCGTATGCATGATAAAAGTATTCAATACTGTAAAATTTAAGGTATTTTACCAATGCTTTTTCTCCTGATTTCCATTAAAATGTATAAAATAGATTTTTGAAAAAAAAGAACAGCATAAAAATAGAATATAGATATGAATAATTGATATCAAAGACATAGACTGATGATAGTGGATAAACGAGAATCGAACTTTATAAGATTTAATATTTACAACACAGTGTTATTTAAAAAAGATAGTAAACGAGTACATACTATCATTTGATAGAGATTAAAAATGACTAGTTGTTTTCTCAAGTATTTATGTGCTGTTATTTAGTGGAAACTCATTTAACTCATACATGCAAAAATCATATTGCGCTATTTCTTGTGATCCTGAACAACAATAAAAAAAATGCTATGAACAAATTTTGCGAATACATTTATATTCCCATATATTTTTATTATATTTACGGATTTACAATTTTTACATGTCTATTCAAATATAATCGGAAGTCAAGAATTTTCATCTGAAACTTTACGTCCACCTGTTTTCTTCTCAGCTCTATCAGTACTGCATATCCATTTGAACAATCTCATAGATTTTAATTCAGTTCCAGATGTTTTCATCATTGTTCTGTTATATAGATACACATGGTTGTGATGAATTAATCGTACAACTTCTACATCAAATATTGAGACAAGAAACACTCGACTTATGTCTTATGGTCTATTGCAATAAATCACTTATTGGCAGTAACGATTCAAGAAGAATTTTATTAATTATATTTAATATATGTCTTAGCAATCAAATTATTTCTTGTGTTGATCATTTCCCAGATGCAAACGAGAGTCAATGACATATTTATTCACATTCATAAGAAATAATACATTTTCAAAAAATCTAACAAATAATTTGCTCAGTGGATTATTTAAATGTGTTTGTGAAATTTCGTTAATGATTCGCGTCTTTTTTGAATTATGAAGTTTTTCTTCGAATTTCTCAATGATTTCTGTTTATGAATAATTTAACTTTAACTAATAAGAAAATACAAAATAATAAATTAAACCAAAAAAAAAATCAAAGATTGATAATGAAGATTTGTTAATCATTAAAATATTCTTCTCATCATACCGAAAACAATTTCTAATTGGCACTCATACATACTTACCGAATAAAGTTCACTTTATACATCGATTATCGTTGAGTGAAAACGAATGGTAAACGAATTCTCTAGAAAAGTATTTCATCATACAAAAATATCCTGATTATGGTCAATTCTAGATTTGAATGAAATTGTTTAATATTAGACTAACTTTAACGGAATTTTAACTTATGAAAGTGACTAGAAAAACAATGCAGGAGAAATAACTTGTTTTGTATGTCATCTGCGAGAAACAAGAACTTATTGTACTTCAAAATGGTCTTCTATATGAAAATTTCAACGAAGAAGTATTAAAAAAAAGTTGTCGTAAACAAAAAAAAATCATTTTAGATGAAATAATAAGTGTTGATGTTATTTGTTCGATGTTGCATAATTTGAAATCTATTTTTATAGTTAAGGAATTGATAGAAAATTGACTAACCAAACAGAGAAATTAGTTAATAAATGTCGATTTGTTTCTGGAATCGACGACAAATTTTATTTAGGATTCTGATAACTTTCTCGAGAAACGTCTATGTAAAGTCTCGACGAATATTTGAGGTAATTATTTTTCATAGAGTAATACAGAGTGCCTAACCCAATATCAATTACTTCCCAAACTCTGATGAATTCAGTTTATTATATTTCATTGAAAAATCATAGCCAAAGAAGCGTCTATTGAAAATGTTCCTATCAAAAAAATTCGTAAATCTCCTCTATCAATGGAAAAAATCAGTTCGATTCAGTGAACTAATGTGAAAACAAAGTTTCGAGGGTACTGGTCTTGATCTCTTTTCGTAAAAGTTCAAAATCAGTAGTTCAACATTTTTCGAAACGGCTAGGTGAAGCATCATCAAACAATTATCACATCAGTGACATGTGTCATAACGAGAGAAATCAAAGACCGCTAATTGGATAACCAACACCCCAACTTACATAAAATGATTGTCTTGAATAGCACAAGCGTCTATTTTATAGAAAGAGAATGTGCGTGCACAAAATCACTTAACTAAGCAGCATAAGAAAAACTTTTTCAGTACTGCTTGTATATACAACAAGGTATTCATATTGCGAGTGTTCCGTTTCTGTTAAATAACTGTATAAGTTGAATTTCATTTTATTCCATCCTCAAAAAAAGGATTCATGTTACTGAAAAGCTTGAGGGGAAGAATGCTCGTCTATGGTTTTCCTTATAGAAAAAGCCGTTGTTTTATGACTATGTATCAAGAGAATACTTTCGTCGTATACAAAAATACTCTTCTACATCGGTCCAATCTTGTTCAAGAACACGGTCACTGTTATTTAGCCGCTGTTTCGAAAATACTAGCTAGAGATCGATAGCAGAAATCTTTCCAGCAAAAGTTAAGATTTAATAAAATTCAAGATTAACACGTAACGTTGTTCAATATAGCTAACTAATAACTGACAACGACATTCATCTGGTCAACCCAGTATTTCGCTCATTGTCCATGATTTATGTTCTCCCCGTAACTGTCGTCCTTCTTGAAACAGTTGTTGGTCGAGAAGTGCTTGTTGTTAATGAGTTGCCAGTTGTTGTTCCTAGAGCTTTAGTCATTGTGGAGCAAAGTGGAAGTACATTAGAAGAGAATGAACCGATTACATTTCCTGAAGGATAATAATTTGCCACAACATAGGCAGTTCGCTTATTACTTGTTAAGGCGATACCAATTCCTAATTGTTTCGATCCTTTCCAAATAACTTGTGTGAAATGACCAGTCGATGATGAAAA